CCCTACTACGGGGCTTGGGCAAACATGTCCACCAGGGCCTCTCTCATGCGCACAGCATCCTGGCTCGCCTGGCGGACGGCAGCTGTGTCGGGCTGTTCCAAGGTCTGTGCCTCGGCTGCCATCCATGCAGGTAGGAAGGCCTCCCCACTGCACTCCACAATGTTGTGGAGCACGCAGCACGTGGCCAGGACCTCCGTTGCATTCTGCTCGCCTATCTCGAGATGGGTGAGCAAGCAACGGAAATGGGCCTTTAAACGTCCAAAGGCCAGCTCCACTGGGTTTTGGGCCTGGTTGAGGCGGTCGTTGAACCGGGCCCGGTTCTGGTCTAGCTGCCCCGTGTAGGGCCGCATTAACCAGGGCATCAGGGGGTAGGCCGCGTCCCCGACGACGCAGATGGGCATAGGCACATCCCCGACAGTCAAGTCCTGCCGGGGGAAGTAGGTGCCCGCCTCCAACCCTGCATTAGCCAGGGCATCAGGGGGTAGGCCGCGTCCCCGACGACGCAGATGGGCATAGGCACATCCCCGACAGTCAAGTCCTGCCGGGGGAAGTAGGTGCCCACCTCCAACCTGCGAAACAGTCCAGAGTTCCGGAGGATGCGGGCGTCGTGTGCCTGGTCGGACCAGCCCCCGTAAATGTCCACGAAGCGGCCCCGGTGGTCCACGAGGGCCCACAGAACAATGGAGCAGTACCCCTTGCGGTTCATGAAATGGCCCGCTCGATGCTCCGGGGCCCAGATGGGGATGTGGGTGGTGTCCAGGGCTCCCCCGTAGTTCGGGAACCCGAGGGCAGCGAAGCCGGCCATGGTATCATCCACGTCGCGCAGGCGCATGATTTGCGGGAGCAGGACGTCGTTGATGGCGTGGATGACCTGCAGAAGGGTGCAGAGAAACACAAGGGAACACATCACATACAGCAGGGGTGAGTGTGCGCTCCCTTGGCCCCCCCCCTTGATTCCCTCTGTCCTCTCACACACACACACACACACACACACACCAGGACCCCCCTCGCCGCACGCCCCCCCCCACCTGGCCTGTGCAAGGGAGGGACGGCCCAAACCCCTGGGCGACCCAGCCGGGAGTCTTGGCTGGCCCTGGGCCTGGAGGGCAGCACCCTCCCCCCA